CTCTGGCCTGTTTCGCCTTGATTTTGGCCATCCTAAGGCAGCAGGACAAAGAGGAGGGGACCAAGGCGACCATACCCAACCCTGGCCTACAGCAGCAGCTGTTAGCGTCGGGGGCAAAGAAGGAGCCTGAGGAATCCAGAGTGTGAGCTGTCCCAGGGCCCCATTCTGGCCGGGAGTAGCAGCCATGGCGAGTACCTCCTCTGGGCCCTTTGCCTGAGATTGGGGGTTGGGAGCCCTGTTTTCCAGTTATGAGTCCTCCACTAACTTGCTGTGTGGCTTTGAGCAAGCCACTGACCCTTTCTGGGCCTTTGTTGGCTCACCTGAACCAAAGAGTTACTTGCGGGTTTGTTGTTTTGGCCACTTCTGAAGCTTGAGGGTCTTCCCCCTCTTCTCCCCCAGCCACACGGGCTGACCTGAAACCAGGCTTTCCTGGGTGGAAGGACTGCATATCTTTCCCCCAGGGCCCGAGGATAGAGAAGTGGACAATAGTAGGCCAGGCTGCCCCGCCTACTGGGTCCTGGCCCTGCTCTACTGCTCACCTGGAACACCCTCTCTGAGCCTCAGCCTCCCAGCCTCCATCTCTGTCAGGTGGAAATGAACTTGTCAGCTTTCAGGCCTCTTCAGCTGTGACCATCTGTGTGGCCAGGACAGACTCAGGTCTCCTCCCCAGCCCCGCTCAGCCTGGACTTGGGGCCAGTACAGCCTCTGTTGAGAAGTGTCCATTTGGCGCCCCCTGGAGGCAGAGCCCTGAGCTTTGGGGAGCCGCCCTGGTGCGGGAACTGGTCCCACTCACGACATCCAGGCTAGACAGGGCCTTCAGGAAACCTGGTGTGAGGTCCCCAGGGGCCTTGGCTGTGCGGGGAGCCTCACTCTCTGGAGTCAGGAAATCCCAGCCCTTGCCCTCAGGCAGCCCCAGTCTGGGTGAGGCCTATTCTCTGCCTGGTGGAGAGGGGGACCCAGCTCCCACATTGGGGCATTTTCTAATTTCAAAGACCAAACAAACTCAGCATAGACTCACTGGTACCCATGCATTGCCAAGATTTCACACACTTGACCTGGGCCCACCAAAGCCACTTTGACTTTTGTGACTAGAATCCTAATTTCACCATTTCCTCCCAGGCGCCTGATTCTATGTCACCTGGGGTTGTGTAGACAATGTCTGGTTCTGTGACACCCACATTTTGGGGTAACATCTGGTTCTCTGTGATGCCTGGGTTGCTGTAAGAACCTGTTCTTTGTGATGCCTGGGCTTGTGATCTAGAAGCACTAATGCGTGGCTCTGTGTAATAAGTGGGTCTGTGGGATGCTTGGGTCTGAAGAGACAAGTCCTTGTCTGTGTCAGGCCTTGTCTTGCCTTGTCTTGTTTTATGGCTAGTCTTATTTGGCCTGATTATCTCTCTGGGACGGGGAGAGAGTTTCCCAATCTGCTTCCAGCCCAATCTAGTTGCTTGGGAGGCAAGAGACAGGGAGTCAGAAGCAGGAGCTTCCCAAATCCCTGTCCAGCCCTGTGCTGTGGGCCAGGGCGGAAGCTGGGGGTTTGGGGGCACACGTGTCTCTGGCCCTCTGCGCAGCTCTCAGCGGCAGGGCTTTGAGGCTATGCCACATGAAAGAAGAGGGAGGTACAAAAGTTCTAATTCCCATTTTTGTTCTGCTGGTTGATACCTTTAAATGTCTAACAGATATCTGAGCCTGTATTTATCAGTGCCAAGAATTTCAGAGTCTCTTCCAACAAGATGAGGCTGTTTGTATGTTCATATTCCTCCTCCTTCCCTCTTGTTTCCCAGGTTTTGCAGAAATAATCTGGAATTATAGATATAGCTTATTATTAAATTTGTTCTTGCATAATGTGTCTTCCGTTACAAAAATCCTTTCTTCCAAACTGCATTAAGGTTTGCAACAACCAGATTATTTCCAGTTATTTAGATTTAAGGTTTGCTGGATTCATTGCTCACCGTTATTTCTCGTATATTACATCTTCCCCTACCTGTATATTCTGGTCTAATTTTTGTTCGGCTCGACTACTTTCTCTAGTAATGGTTTCAGAAGTGGAATAATGTCGCAAGGCTTTCCCAGTCCTCACCTGTCCAAACTGTCATTCAGGTTTTACAGAAGAGGAGATGGTTCAGAAAGGATAAGCAACTTGCCCAAGATCACACAAAATAAATGTCAGAGCCAGGATTAGATCTAGATTTTGTGGGAACTGACGCTTACACAATTTGGGGAGTCCTCTTTAAGAAAAAGAGCACAAAATTAGGTAAGAAGGTGAATATTTACTTAGAATGAAAAAAGAAGTCAAAACAAATACATCTCACAATTCAGAAAAATAGCATAAGATTGTTTACTAACTGCTGTGCATACCTCCAAAATTCTCCCCCTAACGGTTGGAAATATTTTCTATAGACTAGCTTCTGGTTCCATACATTTTAAACCTGTTTCTCCTCTGTTGTCCATATACTTCCAGGGCCAGGCAGGAGAAAACACTTTCATGTCACAAGATGACCTCTGGACATGACACCTTGATGTCACAATGCCAAATGAGTTGGACTGTGGGTAGGAAGAGTCCTAGAAGCCATTCTCTATACAGAGGTAGCTAGCAATGATCTATCTATTCATAGAGGTGACTGAGAACCACGTAAATATATCCCGATGAATCCAAATTAAATTGATCCCCAGCTCCACTCCCTCTTAGCATTATTCCAGAAATGTCCATGCCAACTGCTTCACATAAAGGGAAACTGGGACACAAGGACACTTGGAGTGGAAAGAACTAGCCATCTTGACCCATTGTGGTGAAAGTGTCTACCTTTGGAAATTTCCTGAGAACTTGACAACAGGAACATATTGATGAAGCCTCTCCCAGGGCCTGGGTAGAGGCCGTGGTGCTCAAGCAGTCTTAGCTTCATGCTGAGTCTACCTCTGGGTTGAGCTGAGATTCGAAGAAGATGAGGTGCTTGTGCTTAAAATCATCCAGGCTGGTCAGGGAGGAGACTCCAGGAGTAATCACAAGAGAGACATGGGGCTGAGAGCCAGGGGTGGAACAGGTAAGGGCCAGCGACTTCCCAGGGATTCAGGGGGTCCAGGGAGCAGCCCTCTTCCCTGACATGGCCTCTGGCCAATGAGAAGCCGCAAGCAATTACACCTGTGAGTTCACTTTCTTCTCACCCTGTCCCTGAGAGTTGGAGGAGAAGGCATTAAGTCTCCTACTAGATTCTACGGTGGTAACATCCAGCAGAGGACAGGACTGGAACCAGAATGAAGATCCTGACACCTGGTCCGGAGTTCCTTTAGGCTGTAGACTCATGCTGGGAAGTTGCAGGGCAGGCAGATACCAGAGAGCCAGGAGCCATGATTGGAACACAAATAAACGAGGAGCAAGAACTGGGACTTCCCTGGTGGTGCAGTGGTTGAGAGTCCGCCTGCCAGTGCAGGGAACACGGGTTCAATCCCTGGTCCGGGAAGATCCCACATGCCGCGGAGCAATTAAGCCCGGGCACCACAACTACTGAAGCCCGCATGCCTAGAGCCCGTGCTCCGCAACGAGAAGCTACTGCAATGAGAAGCCTGCGCACTGCAACGAAGAGTAGCCCCGGCTCACCGCAACTAGAGAAAGCCCGCACGCAGCAACGAAGACCCAACACAGCCAAAAATAAATAAATAAATTTATTAAAAAAAGAAAGAACCCACAGCACCCTTGACATTCTTTTGACATGTTGAATTCTTTCCCCCTAACAAGCCCCTACATGTGCTCCTCCCTCTACCCAGCTGGCCTTCTTCACATCCCCACCCCATTGTTTGCCTCTCCAACCCGCTTCATGAAGTCCTGTCCAAACTTCCAGACCCAGCTCAAAGGCCACCACCTCCAGGGATGCAGCATGGTATAGGCAACGGGAGTGGGTGGCAACCACCTCAGGGAATCCATTAAAAGATATAGACTCTCCATTAAAAATGCACACAAACTTATACACAATTGTGCCCCTGATTTCAGAGGTTGGGGATCATTTGAAGCCTAGCTGTAGACCTCCAGTGGAGTGGAGTGAAAAGAACAGAGTTTTAGAGTCAGTCAGATTTGGGTTCAAATCTAGACTCTGCCACTGATTCACGGTGTGACCCCAAACAAGATTTAACTTCTTTCCTCTCAGTTTCTTCACCTGTAAGGTGAGGTTGATCATTCCTGTCTCTCAGAAGGTATGAAGACAAAATAATGATAACATACTCATTCACAGGCAGTGTACCTAATGATCAATATTTGTAAGTGTCCTTCCCCTTCCCCTGTTCCTGAAAGGAGAACATGGGGGTGGAGGTGGGAGTGGGCAGTAAGGACAGGGAGAGGCACCACTGAGGGGAGGCACCACCCTCGCTCTGCCCTGCCCTGGCTGCAGCTCTGCTTGTCCCCTAATCTTTCTTCCACTGTCAGCCAGGGCTCAGCCTGCCCAGTCTTATCTCTCCCCACAGCCAGCCTGGGACAGCTTTTCTCAGCCAGATTTACATTTTTATTGATTTTCTTTCTCCCTTCCAGAGCAGTCCCTTCCTTCTGTTTCCCCTTTTGCTATAAAATGGGCTAACCCTGGAAGCAGCAGTTCTGGTGCTGGCCAAGAAGTGATGGTTCAAGGATAGATTCATTCACCATACATTCATTTATTTATTCAAACACCCAATCAACCAACAAACGACATGGCTGCTCTATGCCCCTGTGCTGGCACTGCTGGGGGGACACAGCCATGGGTCCAGTACAGGAAACTCCCAGTATAAGCAGACAAGCTGACACATAGTAATAAAAGCATGATTAGTCATATAGGAGAGGGAAGGAGAGGAAGCCATGTATTCTTCCTGGGGTCACCATGGAAGGCTCTCCAGAAAAGGTTAAATCAGAGTTGGCCTTAGAGATTAGGCAGGAAATTCCCAGGTAGAAAAGATGCAAATAGACATGAGAAACAATGGTATGAGCAAAGATAGGAAGGCACAAGAGAGCAGAGTGTGTCTGAGATATGGTACAAGAGCGATGTGGTTGGGATGTACTGCACGTGCAAGGCCATCAGGAGAGAGAGGAGAGCTGAGGCTGGATGTACCAGTGAGGCCCAAGCCTTGAGTTCCAGCTGAAGGCTTTGGATGTCTTCCTGAGGGCAAAGAGGCGCCCTTGAAGCATTGACTGATGGATTATTCAATTGACTGGTTATTTTAAGCAGGGAGTGACATGACAAGATTTGTGTTTTAGAAAGGCTGCAGGCTGCACCCTGGGGGCTTTGAATGGAAAAGGGAAGCTGGAGGCCAAGAGCTCAGGCTGGACACTGGTGCTTAATCAAGAGAAGAAGTAGGAGGCCTTGAACCAGGTCATCCTTGAAGTGGGGACATCTAAGATGAGTCTTGAAAGATGAGTAGGACCATACCAGGTGGAGAAGTTGGGAACAGCGTCCAGGGAGAAGAAACTACACAGATTAAAAACTCAGCATACAGAGAGATCCTGGCAAGCTTGGGGAATTTTCCACTAGTTCGGCAGGGCTACAGTGTGGTCTAAGAGAAAGGTCATGGTGAGGGATGTAGCTGAAGAAATGGGTCAGGGCCCTCAGTTTCTCTCAGTATTCTCTGTCTCCTGAACCTAGACTCAGGTGGGAGAGGAGAGGGAACACTGGCCACTTGTGCAGAGGTGACAGTGTGGAGCTGCCTCCCCTGAAGACTGAGAGAGGCTTTCCATGATCACAGCACTACATTTTACAAAGTCCCTTCACACTTGATCCTCATGGCTTCCTGACGAGGAATGTAGAACAAGGACTATTGGCCCCGAATAGTGGATAAATTATCTGAAGCCTAGAAAACTACAGGAACTTGTCCAACGTTGCTCAAGAGCTCAGGTATCCCCCTTTTAAAGCTCCAATGTTTTTTCTAATAAACTTACTTGTCCCTGAATCACATACACACAATAGATGTAGTAGCTACTAACTAATGTGATTGGGATGGGGAAAAGCATAAAAAAAACACATCAGAGTAAGAGATCTCCTCCTGTCCTCAATTCCTCAACCTTCACCCTGGAGCTGGAGACATTCCAGCCGAGAAAACCAGGTTCCCTCTGCTTTGGAATCCAATAGACATGAGGACAAATCGCAGCTGCGTCACTTTCCACCTGTGAGAAGTCAACTGCATTCATCTCAGCCTTAATTTTCTCATCTGAAAAACGGGAGAAACAAACCCTATCTTTCATAGAGTTGTCATGAGGACTTAATGTGATAATGTAAGACTATAGTAGTTAACTATTGCTGAGTAACAAATTACCCCAAAACTTAGCAGCTTAAAACAACAAATATTTACGATCTCGCACAATTTCTGAGGATCAAGAACCCAGAATTGGGCTAACTGAGAGACTGTGGCTCAGGATGTCTCATGAGGTTGCAGTCAAGTCTCAGCCAGGGCTGCAGTCATCAGAACGTTCAATGGGGCTGGAGGATCCACTTCCAAGCTCCCTCTGTGGTTGCTGTCAGGCTTCCATTCTTTGGGGGCAGTTGGTCAAAAGTTTCAGTTCCTTTTCACACAAACTTCTCCACAAGACTGCTCATGACGTGGTGGCTAACTTTCCCTAAATGAATGATCCAAGAAAGAGAATCTACCAAGATGGAAGCCACAGTATCTTTTATAACCTAACCTTGGAAGTGACAAACCTGTATTTTTACCATATTCTTTTGGTCACATAGACTAACCTTGATACAGTGTGGGGCAGGAACATAAAAGGGTGTGGATACCAGGAGGTGTGGCTCTTTGGGAACCATCTGGAAGCAGGCTACCACAAGTGTCCAGAACAATGCCTGGCACCCAATAGGTACTTATTCATTTGCAGCTGCCATTATTCTCCCTGTGCTCACAGACTAGCTGGGAAGACAGGATTTGGACATGAAAAGAGAGAGCTTGGCAAAGTAGACTGCAACTTGAATTGGGCAATGCTCAGTCGCCTGATGGAAGAGGGTCTGCAGTACCAAGGGGTGGAAATAAGGGAAGGCCGCCTGGCAGAGGTGGAGCTGAGAGGCCAATTCAGCGAGGAGACAGAGGGTGAGTGTGGCACACACTATCTGTTGCCTTCCCGCAGCCAATCTCCTTTTCCTCTTTCCAGTAGCAAGGTGCCCAGCCACAAGGATGATCCAAGCCCTTCATGGAAAAGCCTTCCTCTTTGCCAGTGAATAGTCTAAGAGTAGACGTGTGACTTTATTTTGGTCAGTGAGATATAAGGGAATGGTCTTCTTGGAAAGCTCCCCTCTTGGATAAGAGAGGCATGAGAGAAGACCCTTTGTCTCCCGTGCCCTTTCTTCCTGCTTGGGAGGACATGGTAGTTGGTACCACATCAGCCATTTTGTGACCACAAGGGGCGTCTCTCTCAAGGCTTAGAATGGGAAAAACCTGGGTCGTCAGAGACATAACCAGACATATTCTGGTTGAATAACCAGACCAACCCTGGCTCCACCTTCCTCTGGCTTCCTTGTTAAGGAAATAAAAGGTTTAAGCCATCAGGTGTTTTCTTACTTGCATTCTAACTAATTCAGTGAGCAAAGCATTCCAGTTCCCTCTGGGGTTTTTTCCTTTTCCGCAGGAAGGTAGAGTGAAACTGTGGAACAGGAAAGGGCCCTTGGCTGGGAGGCAGGAGTCCTTGGTCTAACCGCAGCTCTGCCTCTGAGTTGCTCTGTGATCTTGAGCAACTCCCTGCCCCTCTGGGCCTCCAATAATCACAGGTAATATTTATTGACTGCTTGCTGTGTGCCAAGCACTCTGCTAAGAGCTTCCCTTGCATTATCTTATTCAATCCTCACATCAACTCTGCTATGTCAATATTATTATTCTCTTTATTTTATAGATAAGGAGACTGAGGCCCAGAGATATGAGGGAATTTGCCCAAGGTTCCATAGCAAGTTAGTGCTGGATCTCTGGACTCTGAATTCATGCTCATCTTTCTCTAAAGCCAGGCTCCTGACCATAATGCTATACTGCTTGGTGGTAAAAGGATGTCTCTGGACAAAATGACCTCTAAGGGCCTTTCCAGCTCAAATATTCTTTGACTTGCTGCCCCATTTCTAGCTACATGATGAACAAAACAGCTTATCCTAGAGAAGAAAGAAATAAGGACTGTCTTTAGCCATCTGAAAAGCTGTCATATGAGTGGGAGATTAGACATACTCAGTGTAGCTCAGAGGACATGAACTGGACAAGTGCGGGGACACTACCGGGAGAGAGAATGCAGCTTATATAAGGGAGAGCTTTCTAGCTTCCATTCAGCAGGGGTAGGGGTATGCACAAAGGCAATGGCTCTCCTGTCATGACATTTACACAAGCCTGTGTTAGATAAACATTTTTCAGAAGTACTGCATTAAGTAGGAACAGGATTGAACAGCTTAAAACTTGTGGTAGGAATTAAAGAGGATAATGTACTCTAGTACATTCTAATACTCCTAGCACCATAACTGATACAAATAGAGGGAGTCAATAAATTGCTGTTTCTTTTCTTTTTTGACACTGAGATTCTTGGATTTTAAGATTCTCTAATATGGATTTTTGGCCCTTTGGCTCTAATATGCCACAGTTCTATAATTTCAACACATTGTGATTCTGCCCTACTAAGATGCTATGATTTTAATACTCTAACTTTCCGTGATTGTGTGGCTCTGGAAGCTGAGCAGTCTATGATTTTGTAATTTAATAGTCTCTAGCTTTAACAATCCAAGATTCAATAAAGTGTCTCTCACCAGCTCTAGAAATATGAGGGAGTGGCTCTATGCTGTGCTTCACTGGCCTGGACACACATTGGGCTACTACCTCTGCTCATGTTATCATTCCACTGCCTTCCCCCACCCCAGCCTCAGGCTCTCCATACCAAAAAACCCTCCTCCCTGATTCCTACCCCTTCTTCACTCCACACCTACAACGTAGGTATATTCACTCTCTATCTGCTGGTGACTTTTCATTAACTAAGAACCTTCTCTGTGTCCAGGCTTGTGCTTATTCCAAAAGGGATATAAGAGAATGAGAAGGTATGGTTGTAATTCTCAGGGGGCCTAGGATCTAAGGACTCAAGTCCCTTGCTTTTGTTTAAGTTCAACTCAAACTTACCTCTACCAGGAAACCTTCCTTGACTGACACTAAATCTCTAGCACCAATAACCTTAATCACAAACGTGAAGATCTGACTTCTTCGGTTGATTATAGTGCACATTTTAATTTATCTGTTTATCATGTTTTCCAGATTATAACTGAGATTTCCCCATAGATTAAGAGCATGTCTCTTCAACCAAACTGAGAGTTTTGTAGAGGAAGACCATGTCTTCCCCATCAGACTGGAAGCTCCATGGAGACATGGTCCATGCCTCCCTTATATCATACTTGAGCTAGAGTTAAAAGCAGAGTGATGTTTCTCCACCAGATTAATAAATACCCAACGGTAAGTTCATTTTTCTGCCAATGGACTGAGCATTTTATAGAAGCAGAGGCTACATCTCCCCTTAATATGGGGAATCTCCAAAGGCCAAGGGCTGAGCTTCCACTCATGCTGGGGGCATCTCCCTGAGATCAAAGGGTCTAGGGTTCTCCCTTCTCTTTCTATTTCTTTAATCCTAGCTCAGGACTCTAGCCTGAAGAAGAGATATTTTCTCTAACTCAGATAGACAAATGAAAAAGAGGAGATTAAGAACTCAAGCCTCTCCCCCAACAAGTCCAGGGCCTTTCTTGCTCTATCCTGGGCCATCTCCTAACAGCTGCCATCCCTCTGCCCAAACTGGGCCCTTCCCAGCCACTCGAGCAGCAAGTGAAGATGTCAGCACCTTGGACAGCACCCAACCCATTACAGGACTTGGAGCCAGCGGAAGCCAAGCTCTCCAACTCCCTTAGCCTCTGGGTGACGAATTTCCTTGTTTCTCAATTTGATTAAAGCCCAGTAGATAACCAGAGTCCCCTGTTTCTTTCTCTTTTCTCTTCTGGATGAACATAATCAACTCCATCAGGCTTGGAATACTTGCTCTTAAATACTACCTACCCAGCCCCGGCCTAGGCATGAATCAGGGACACACTGCTAAAACACTTGGAAGACTCACACATTTTTTCCTGGAGAATGGAGGTGGGAGAGGAAGCGCTCCCTGAGATGTATAGGGGCTGTGAATGGACGTGAAATGTGTTTGGGTAAAGAAAATCCTGAACTGAAACTCAGGAAATTTGAAGCTTAGTTCTGGATAAGCTTTGCCACTAATCTAGATATGATCTAGAGCAAGTGGCACACCCTTTATGAGCCTGTTTTTCCATTTGTAAGATGAGGATGTCAGATTAGATAATTTCAAATGTTGTGTTCAGTGCTAACATTCTATAGGAACATTTAAAACAGATAAGGAAAGAGATTTGCCCAAGGTTATATGGCAAGCTCATGGCAAATGTGTGTCTGAATTCATGGCTCCTGGTTTCTACTTCAGTGTTATTTCACTTGCACAGTACTTCCCCCTTAGTTCACGTCGCAGACTTTTTGCCTGGGGACAGAGCTGAAGAAGTTGAAGACAGGTGGGATAGAGTTCATTGGTGCCAACAAAAGGAAACAAAATTTTAAGATATGTGGAAATGCTGATCTCTATGCAGAGAGCATAGTAGAAATAACTAAGATTAGGGGGAAAGGACCACCTCATAGAGACAGAAATTCAACCCTAAACTCAGAGAAACCCCGGAAATGTTTTGTGACTTGCCCAAGGCCATCCAGCAAGGCAACTGTAGAATCCTCTTAAAGAAAAAGAGTGAACTCTTATCCTGATCGAGTGTTGGGAGGTGCCCATGTCAGAGAAGAGAAGAAAATATATAAATCAGGAAGTATGTATTAGGTACTAAAGTGTACCCAGATCTGCACTAAACACCTTGGCAGGAACATACAGAATAAGACATGAATTCTGCTTTCTCCATCTTTGATGTGTTGCTTCTTCTGCTTGGAATTACTTCCAATGCATCTACGTATGTCCAAGTACTGCTGTTCCATCAAGGCTCAAACCAAAAGTCTCCCCTGGTGGGAAAGCATCCATAGCCTTATCCAGATGCCACTTCTCTCTCCTCTGAATCCCCAAAGCATTTCCTTTGTTCCTGTTTTATAGTACTCAGCATCGTCTACCTTATCTGCTCCCATCCTCTCCCATAATGAGTGAAGAGAGAGAGCGAGCCTGCATTTTATTCAGCTTTGAATCACTCAGAATACTCAACACAAGATTTGAACTATAATAGAATCTCAGAAAGTATTGGACGGCTGAATAGATAGATGGATAGATGATGAATATAGATGTATGGGTGACTCAGAGAGAGAGAAGATGAAGGGATGGGTGTGTGGATGGGTGAGTGGGTACACGGGTGGATGGTGGGTGAATGTATGGATGGACAGATAAGTATATGACCATATAGGTGGGAAGAAAATGGATAAATGGGCACCTGGGTTGGTAGGTAGGTGGGAAGATGGAAAGGTGAATGAGTACAAGAATGATTCTATGGACGGCTGAATGTAAATGTATGTAGGTGGATAATGTGGTTGGTGAATGGATGGATTAATATATAGTTAGGGGTGGGATAGGGAGGGTGGGAGGGAGGGAGACGCAAGAGGGAAGACATATGGGAACATAGGTTTATGTATGACTGATTCACTTTGTTATAAATCAGAAACTAACACACCATTGTAAAGCAATTATACCCCAATAAAGATGTTAAAAAAATAAAATAAAATAAAAATATATATATATAGTTAGATAGTTGTGTGGGTGAAAGAGTGGATGTATAATTACATGATTATATGGAAAGATAAATGTCAGGATATGTAGAAAGAAGAATTAGGGGAAACATGGAGGTATTCCTAATATCACAAAGGTCATTTTCATGGAGAATTTCCATTGCTAATGTCAGAAAAATGACTATGGGGGTGAGCTGACTCTGTGCTTAAGCTGAGTCAAAAGTGTGCTAAGGTTGCAAAAGATCTCAGCCTGGTATCAATGAAAGTCTAATATCATGACCAAAAAAGGTGGTGGTCCTGCCTTGGCCTGAGCTGTTCACACTGCCCTGGAGCCTGTGTTCTGCTCTGTGCATCTGGAGGGATGATGACAGCCATGGCTTGTCCACGTAGGCGATACAGCGAGGAGTAATCTGTAAAGCCTACCAAATGAGGAAATGGTGAAAGAACCAGGAGTGTTTAGCTTGGAGAAGAGAAAAGTCAGGGGTGATAATCATCATGGCTCAGGATCTTGCTGGCTATCCTGGGGCATGCCCTGTGGCCCCAGAGGCAAATCTAGCTCCCAGAGGAAGTCACAGGGCTGAGGTCTCAGCCTCATGCGAGAAAGGCCATCATACAAGAGAAGGACTTTCTTCGGGGAGTGAGCTTCCCATCTCTGGGGCTGCACAAGTAAGATCTGGACATCTTCTATGAGAGAAGCTACAAAGTGGAGACTTGCTTGATGTGGAAAGTAAATAAGGGCAACTCTGAAATCTCTTCCCACCCCCAAATTAAAACATCTGTTTAGGGCTTCCCTGGTGGCGCAGTGGTTGAGAGTCTGCCTGCCGATGCAGGGGACACGGGTTCATGCCCCGTTCCAGGAAGATCCCACATGCCGTTGAGCAGCTGGGCCTGTGAGCCATGGCCGCTGAGCCTGTGCGTCCCGAGCCTGTGCTCCACAACGGGAGAGGCCACAACACTGAGAGGCCCGCATACCACAAAAACAAACAAACAAACAAACAAAAAAACCCATCTGTTCATCTCTTCGATCCTTAACAATTAGGTTCAGCTGTGCCCTGAGTTCATATTGGAATGTAGGGAATTTCCATCCAGAGCTGAGGGTTTGGAGAGATTTGGGAGACAGAAATGGGGTCTAATGGGACCCTCAACTTTCTGTGGAGGTCTGGGGTTGAGTAATCAAGAGAAACTGAAAATGTCCTTTCAGAGGCCCAAATGACAGAGGAGGGAGAGAGTCAGAGCCACCCAGAGCCAATCCGTGACCTAGATTCTCTGTAATTAACAAGCCTACGTCACTGACTTAGGCTTCTGTTGGCTTCTGATCAACACTGTCTCCCCAACCCCGCCCAGCTCTCTGGTATGAGAAGATTAAATCAATTAGGAGGAGGAGGAGATCTGGCTGGCTCTGGTTGGGAACAGCGGATAATTCACTTACATAACAGAGTACTGAGGTTTGGACTTGGCCTTTGAGTAGTGGCAGTGGATCCCAGATCCCAGCTTTTGGGAAGAGACTTCAGGAGTCGGGAGTAAAGGCAGAGGGAAATAAAGGGGGTCCAGGGGGAGGGGCAGCCATGACCTCAGGCGGAGACCCATATTCCATCTTCTTGCTGAGAACGAATACCCTGTTCTCTGGGCTGAGAGAGGGACAAATTGAAAAATCACTCTTCCTTCTCCCAAGTGAGGGGGTCCCAGCCACCAAGATTATTCATAAATGAAAATCTGACAAAGCCTCTCTCCTTAGCCTGGCATTTAAGGCCCTGCAAACTTTCCTGGGGCATCTCCTGCCTCCAAGGGATGCGGGTGGGTAGAGAGGCAACAACACCTCCTGGTTTTCCCTCTGTGCCAGGTCCTGGCTAGGCACTGGAAGTACAGAGAGAAACAGACGTAGTTCCTTCAGAAGCACGGCCAAGTGGGGGGACACATACCCACAATGCTGTGTGCCAAGTGGTAAAACAGAGGCCTGCATGGGCAGGACCCAGAGGGGTCACAAATAAGGGAGGCTTCCTGGGGCCAGTTCCAGAAGGCTCCCCAGGGAAGGCAGTCTCACTGAGCCTTAAAGGAAGGATGGATTAGTGGGAGTTCATTGGGCTGACCTGGTTGAGGGAGGGCCTTGGGTGGAGGGAACAGCATGTTCAAAGGCATGGCAGTAAAACAGCTTGGCACACATTCAGGGAACTAGTTGATGTGGCTGGAGCTTAGAGCATGAGTTAGGAACGGGGGAAATGAGCAGGAGAGGTAGCCAGTCCAGGTCTCGCTTCTGATGGCGTGCCGAGAAGGCACTGAGGCAATGACCCCAGAGTCTCTGATCAACCTATGCTTCCTGAGCACTGACAATATGCCAGGCCCTGTGCTGGGACTGGGGGCGGATGGAAGTGGGGAATAAAGAGATGAATGAGACTCAGGCCCTGTGCTCCAGGAGTTCTAGAAGGGCACACAAATATCTTCCGTTACCAAGCTGATAGTCCCAGCTTGGCTCTGGGTGGGATTCAGGCCTGGCTGGTGTCTCTGGAGCTCTGCTATTGGCTGGGTCTACCCGCAGCCCCTTGCCTAAGGACTGAGATGCCCAGGCAAGCAGTCTTGTTGGCCAAACGTGACCTGGCCTTGGGACTTCCCTGGTGGTCCAGAGGTTAAGACTCCGTGCTCCCAATGCAGGGTCCCCAGGTTCGATCCCTGATCAGGAACGAAGATCCCACATATGGCAACTAGAGAGCCCGTGTGCCACAACGAAGACCCAGTGCAGCCTAAATAAATAAATAAAAATTAAAAAAAAAAGTGACCTGGCCTCTGGGGTCCTGCTCCTGCCACCTAACTCCTGAAGACCAGTCCTGTGGCAAACAAGGTCCCCATGAGCAAATCCAGATAGATGGAAGAAAGTGACGCCCTGAGCTGGTATGCTAGCGAGGGAGGCAAGGTATGGGTCGAGAAATGCTTAGGAGTTATACTGGAAGGGTCTTGGGAGACACTCAGGGTTGTTATCTCGGGTCATGCCATCCTATGGGAAACAGGAGGATGTAAGGTCAGGAGGAGAACAAGAGGAGTTGCAATGGTTTCAGGCTCCTCAAGTTATAGGATTCGTCAGGCGGAGGCCCATGGAAGCGTAGGAATTCAAGTGGACCACACACAAGCTCCCTGTAGGAAGCAGGCATGTGGAAACCCCTCCCTCACCTGTTCTCTCCCTTCCTTCATACTTTCCTTCGGCAGCTCTCAGTACCTCTTCTATCCAAGCGGGCTCTGGGCTGAGCAACGAGGCACAGATCTAGGGTCACCCTGTTCTTTGTCCAAAGGACCAGGATTAAGCACAACATTCTAGCATATCCTGGACTTGCCTGCATTAAAATGTTGGCTGGGAATTGAAGCTAGGGCCTGAAATGTATTCTACTGTTGGAAAGATTTAGGAAGTAAACTTTGTGATTGCAAGCAACAGAAACTGACACAGACTAAGCAAAACGGAAAAAAAAAATTATTAGCAGTTCCACTGGGCAGCTCGGAATGGATGGGAAAACTGGAGAACCAGCTGAGTGGGCAGCTGGATTCACAGCCAAGGTCATACCATAGGAATAGCTGGCCCCAATGCCTCCACTAGCGCAAACTTTGAACATCTCCACCATACTGCCCACCCAGACGTGGCATTGCTACATGATGTAAACACAAATGAATGCTAACGAATCTTCTTCCCAGCCTCCTCACTAATTGTCACATCAAGGTCCTGAGCCAGGTACAACTGGCCAAATTGGCAGGGGGTGGTGGTGGTAGAGTATCTGGCCCCTTTTGGCTTTGAAATGGAAGATTGGGTCCTCGTTTCCATAAGGACTCCCATAGTGGGGGATTTACTCAAAATACAAAGCAACGGACTGGTTTTAGGCAGCAAAAACTGTGACAAATGTCCACTACACTTTTACTGAGGAGTCACTAAATGCTGGGTGCATTCCAGGAGTTTTATATAAACAAACCAGCAAAGCAGGCTCTCTTTTATAACTGGATAATGGTTGATCCCATTTTATAGCTGAGGAAATTGAGATTCCAGAGGTGAAGTAATTTTCCCAGAGTCACTCAGCTGGTAAGTGATGGAGCCAGGATTCCAATACAGGTGGGTGGTTTTGTTGTTACAAATACATTATGCTGTCTCCCAAACTGTAAACACAGAGAATTTGTACTTACCATTGTTAACATTTTATGTAATGTGTGGGGCACAGAAAAATGGCTCGAAGTAAATGTTCCAATATCTTCGCACTATGATTGATGGGATAATAGGATTATGAGTAAATTTTTCCTGCTTTTTTATGTTCTTCTGTACTTTCCTTTAAAAAGAAAAGAGAGTATGCTTTACCTTAATAATTATAAGAAAAAATAAAATAAAAAAACAGTTTTAAAGATTATGACAGTGTTAACCCAATCATGGAGAAAATATGCATAGAAAAAAGACTGGAAGGAAATTTGTCCAAAAAGTCTCTGGCTAGTGGAATTATGGGTCTGCTTATTTTTCTTTCAACTTCTACTTTCCAAATTTTCTATAGTGAGCACTCTGAAACAAATGTAAAATAAGTTTTATTTTTAAAACCAAGCATAAAAATGATATTAACAAAGAGACGCATGTCTTAGTCCTTTTAAGTTCCCATAGTCACGTCCTATAGTGGTTTGGAAACCAAGGTGGTTCTGGGTTTTCTGGGGCAGCCTGGCGGTCCCTTGCAGTGTTTGCTACCAGAGCTGGCAGAGCTGGTGTGCATCACAGTCACCAGTTATCTCAGGCTGAACACTCTGAGCCAGGGTGGGAATAACCCAGCATTCCCACCTCTTGTACCAATGTGCATGTTATCAGGCTCTGCTAAACTGTGAGGATTCAGCTCCAAGGGCTGGAATCTTCCTCTCTGCTGGTTTTATCTCTCATTTCCCAGGCTTCAAGTTTCGCCTTCCCTCCTACAAATGGGGCGGGGCTGCTCAGTCCTGTGAAGTTTAGGCCCCTCTGAGGTGCCTTCTGTGTCTTCTTGTCCAAGCTGCAGGTACCCCATCACCTCTCCTCCCTGCCCTGCCCAACGCCAAGTGCTGTGGATGGACAGAGGCTGAAGGTTTGGTCCTGTCTGGTGGAGGAGTCAGTCTTCCAATCTCAGGGAGACTCTAGATTATTCACTGCCTTAGGAATGTCCCAATCAGATGGAAGATGCAGTTCCTATTTTCCAGGAGTTCCCAGTGTAACGCAGCGACAAGACAGGAGAGAGCAGGGGTTGATTCATATGGGAAGACATCCGTCTCAGCCAACCCTGACTCCTAAAGCTTCTGTCCTAGGACACTGTTACCTCCCTACCCCCTCCTCCGGGTGGGACAGTCACGGTCATAGCCTCCTGGGCCCTCTGGTCCCTCCCCTCCTCCACCTCCCCAAGCACAGGGAGGTTTCTTGTGCCCAGTGCATCCTCTGGCATCCTCCACCCCCCACTGCTCCCCTCCACTCCCACTTCTCCCTTCCTGCTCCTCAGTTTCTCCCCAGGCAAAGCAAGGGAGCTAGATAACCTTACAGGCCCTTCATCTCAGTGGGGATATTCTGTGCCTCACTGCCCCTTCCAAGACCCCTCCCATTCCTTCCTCCTTCTCAGCTTCTTCACCAGTCTGCTCCCTCTCCTCCTCCGTTCATGTACACCCCCTTCCTGCCAAGCCCCCAGAATCTCCAGGTGGAGGCCCACTTTGGCTGCTGCAGTAAGGGATGCAGTGGGGTAGAGTGGAGGTGGCCGGGAGAGAGAAGGGCCCAGGCCAAGGCTGAGGTCAAAGAGGATGGGCAGGGCAGGCAGCCAGCCCTAGAAGCCCAGGCCAAAGCTAGCTCAGCAGCTTCAGCTAAACTCTAGCAAGGCATCTACGCTTGGGTGGCAGCCCCAGAGCTGAGAGGCTCATGGGGGAGGAGAGCATCTGCTGAGGTCGGCACAGCCTCCGGAAACCTCTCCAGAGGATGACTGAGGCCACAGAGAGTCCCAGCCCAAACTCTGGACTCAGCGATGAGAGGAAATGACACTTCCTCCTCCCTAGGGAATGTGACTTAGGTCCTGGAAATCTAGAATCCAGGGCTGAGAGGGTCCCCAGAGGACACCTGCTGGGTATAGGCATCTCCTCTACTCCCTGATGGGCTGTAGAGCCCTACCAACGAGCCTTCTGGGGCGGGAAGCTCATTCCCTTCTATGGCAGCCCATTCCACTGAGAGCTGGTTCACGCTCAGTTATCAAACTGCCACCAGTGACTCCTCTGTGCCAGGGCCTGGGCTGGACCGTGAGGATGCAGAGATGAATGTGGTCCCTGCCTTCAAGGAGCTCTCCATATGAGAAGGGAGACAGACACTGACCACACACAGTGATGGGGGAGTTGAGGGAGCCCAGAGGCAGCCCAGAGCCAGCGTCAGGGCAGGGTGGGGATCAGGAACTGCTTCCCAGGGCAGGCAACGGATCCCAGGGGCCCTTGAATAAGCAGCTTCAATTACCACCTAAATGCCAACAAGTCCCAGCTCTGCAGCTCCAGCCTTGGCATGGCTCCTGAATTCCAGACTTAAATATCCAACTGCCCATTCAGCCTCTCCACTTGGATGTCTTGGCATCTCAAACTCACTGGGATCGAGGCAGAGTTCACCCTCTCTGCCCACCCCAGACCCGGTCTTCCCTCTCTCAATGAATGATCCCATCATTCACAAGCCAGACACCCCAGAGCCATCCCTCCCCCTCACCCCATATCCAGTCTGTCACCAGGCCCCGAGTGACAAACCCACCACTTTTCCCCACCTCCACGCCACCACCCAGCCCAAGCGCTGGCCTCTTCTATCTGCACTCCTCCTTCCAGCATCTCCTCAGTTGTCTTCTTGCACTCAGCCCCCTTCAATCCTGCAGTGACAGCAATCTTTCCAAAAAGCACATAAAATTGTCACCTCTCTGCTTAAGAGCCTTCAGTGGCTTCTCCTTGCCTTTGGCATAAAGTTTAAGACCTTGAACAAGGCCCGCAAGGCCCACCTGGCCTGGCCTTTGCAGACCTCGCCAATTGTGTCTCAGCAACGCCCTCCTCCGTCTCTTGACCTCTTGTCTCTGGCCCACCTAGCTTATCCCTGCACCACAGAGACCTCTGTACATGTTATTCACATTGTCTCCCCCCTGAGCACAAAGACGTGGTCTGCCCTCCTTTCCTCTTCCAAATTGACTCCCAGGATGTCTGTTCTTTGCATGTTCACTGCCCCTGAACACCAGTCTCTGGAACCTTCTCACTTGAAAGAACAGCTTCAGGACACAGCCAATGGTTACAAAGTAACCGGCACACTTGGAGTCCAAGGTCTCAGAACCTCACAGCATTCCCAGAAGCACAGCCCTGACTCTGGCTCCCAGATGCCTTCCAGAACCCCTACTCTGCCTCTGCTCTCTTCTTTCATTTCTGGGCTGGGGGCTGGGAGTGGAAGGTTGGCAAACCTCCCCATCCCCTCAGCCCAGACACTTCCTGGGCCTTATAGTGAGCCCAGAGGGGCAGAAATGAAGTGCCTGGCCTGGCGCCCTCTGCCTGGACCTGCACCCCGTGTGCTCCCTGGGCTCCCAGATCAGGCAGCCGTACTCAGGCCTCAGGCCACGTACTGCCTCCTGTGCAGTTGGCCAGGACTTCCCAAGGCAGGGGGCCTGTCTTCACTGGGCTTCCACAGCATGCAGTATGCCCAGGACTGTCAATTCACCTGTGGTTGTGTTGGTTTCTCTGCCCAGACCAGGTGCTCAGCTTGCTCAGGGGCTGGGTGTTTTCATCTCTGCACCCTGAGCCTAACTCCAGGGTGGTCTCAAAAGAGTGGCTCAGAAAAGCCTCAGCATTAGAATTTGGGACTAACACCACATAAATGTGTGTTTTTGTCTTCTTCTCACGTAAACTGCTGTTAAGCAGTCCTTCATCCTAAACACTTTGTGAGAAGGTGGACCTAGGCGTCTGACCAGCCTTGGTTTTGATGCCAGCTCCACCTGTTTCTAGCCGTGACCTAGAGCAAGTGCTTAGCTTCTCAGGGCCTCAGTTCCTCCCCCTATAAAATGAGAGCGGGGCTTCCCTGGCGGCGCAGTGGTTGAGAGTCCGCCTGCCGATGCAGGGGACGTGGGTTCGTGCCCCGGTCTTGGAAGATCCCACATGCCGCGGAGCGGCTGGGCCCGTGAGCCATGGCCGCTGAGCCTGCGCGTCCGGAGCCTGTGCTCCGCAGCGGGAGAAGCCACAACAGTGAGAGGCCCGCATACCACAAAAAAAAAAAAATGAGAGCAACATCCCCCTCTTAGGGGTTCATAATTAAGTGAGTGAGCTTATGCAGAGGGTATGGCAGATAACGTGTGCTCAATAATTCCTTCCCCTCTCCCTCACCCAAACTTTTCCCCAATAGGGACTTGGCATTTACCTGGATGAACTTGAACCTATGGTTGTCACCTATAGGTCAAGTCGATTCAGATCATTTTGAAACTCAGTCTGGCCATATGGCCCAGTCACTGTCCCGCCTCAGATTAGATACACATTTTATTTGGCCTCATCCAAGTCCTTCCAAAAATATATCAGACCCACAAGTCAGCATGGAGGACAGAGCCTGAGTAGGGCTCTAGTCTGCCCTGCAGGCTGCCATTGATCCACTAATCCCCTCTCCTCCACCAGCTAGCCAGGCAGCTAGGCATTCCCCTAGAGCATCACTATTTGATCCTGCCCCTCATCTTGCCATAACAATACCTTGGGGTGTGTGGTGGGGAGGGCTTCCCTGGTGGCGCAGTGGTTGAGGGTCCACCTGCTGATGCAGGGGACACGGGTTCGTGCCCCGGTCCGGGAAGATCCCACATGTCACGGAGCGGCTGGGCCCGTGAGCCATGGCCGCTGAGCCTGAGCGTCCGGAGCCTGTGCTCTGCAACAGGAGAGGCCACAACAGTGAGAGGCCTGCGTACTGCAAAAAAAAAAAAAAAACCTTGGGAGATGTTCCAAATGCCTTTTGGGTTTTTTTGCTTTGTTTTGTTTTTTCAATTTTAATATTTTTTAATTGAAGTCTAGCTGATTTACAAAGTTGTGTCAATTTCTGCTGTACAGCAAATTCAGTTATGCATATATATACATGCTTTTTTATATACTCTTTTCTATATGTTTTATCATAGGGTATTAAATCTAGTTCTCTGTGCTATACAGTAGGACCTTGCTGTTTATCCACTCTGTGTATAAAAGCTCACATCTGCTGACCCCAACCTCCCACTCCATCCCTCCCCCAAACCCCTCCCCTTTGGCAACCACCAGTCTGTTCTCTATGTCCATGATTCTCTTTCTGTTTCATAGGTAGGTTCATTTGTGTCATATTTTAGACTCCACATATAAGTGACATCATATAGTCAAATGCCTTTTTGAAATCAAGATTTTCAAGACTCTGACTGACCCCTGATCTCAGGTTCTCCCAAAGGAGGAGATAGGAGATGAGCCTGACTTCCTTTAAGTAAAACCTGTGCTGGGTCCTGATGACCACTGCATTTTCTTCTTCATTTTTTAATGACATAAAGCATTCTTTTTCTGCTGTCTCTGTTAGTGTTGTTAAATCTGAAGAATTTTCAGTCCTCAGTGAAAAGTCTCACTTAGAAATGATCAAATTAACCCGGGCTACTTGCCTACAACAGTTGACTGTTGGCTGAAAACAGCTCAAAACACTTAAATGAGAACTTCCCTCTACCACGAGAAATTTGCTTTCCGAATGAATGAAGGTTTTCTACAGGAAGGTAAATTTCCGTCCGGCTCTTCTGACTCATTATAAATGTGGAATGGTAAAATTCAAATAATCACCGTCTTCTTGTAATATTGAGTCAAACATTCACTTGTTAAAGCTGTAACAGCATTGTGCCTTAATAAAAGCTTAGCTGTATAGTTTAAGTCCTAGAAAAAAAAAAGCTGGGCTGACTATGGTTTTCAAAGTTTTGTAAGATTATTGAGAACACAAAAAGCCAGTACAAGAGGGAGCGTAATGAAATCCAGCAGGAATAATTTGTAATTAGAAAACCCCACGCAATTCTTCAGCCAAGGATAATGGCGAGCCATCTAGAAAACACATGTGTCCCATGCTGGGCACTGAGGAGGCTAATCAGACACACTCCACTGACACTTTTCACAATACTGAGGGGCCCCTAATTGCTGGTGGGTGCAGACAACCTGCTTGCTGTTCCTCTCAGGAGATCATGACGATTAAGAGCAGGCCTGGAGCCAAAGAGCTTGGGGTGGAATCCCAGCCCTTCGCCTACTCACTCTGTGACCTTAGGCAAGTTACTTGCCCTCTCTGTGCCTCAACTCCTCATCTTTAAAATCAGGATTGAGAATCACTACCTTTCAGGGTGGTGGTTGTGAAGACTGAACCAGCTGCTATGTGAAGTCAGCCTGACCTAAAATATATCTCTCCTATTCCTCAGTTGCTACTGGGGTGCTCAGAGGCAGTGCCAAAGGAGGATCCCCATCCCCTTCCCCATCCTGCCGCCTCTCTCGGCCCCTGCCAGAAGATGCAGCCTGCACGGAGGGGCGCCATGCCCACAGCGACCCTGCCCCGAGGCCCAATGTTCCCCCTACCCCCCACTCTGGACCACGGCCTGGCCCTGGCCCAGTTGGCCTGTTGGTGATCTGCCCTGGCTAAGCAGGGGTGGCTTGGCTCCAACAAGGGCTAAAGGTTCCTCATTTTGTCTCCTGCTTCAGCTTAACCATCTGGGGTGGGCTGCGGGGTAGGAGGAGTGGCGAAGTGGGGAGAAGAAATGCACTTCTTCCTCCCCGTCTCCCCCTTGGCAGGGTACAAGCTGTGCTCAGTCCAGCACTGTCCTCAGCCCCAGGAAAGCCCCCCACCCCGAGGGTCCCCTGCATGGTATCCCAGGGCACGGAAGCCATCTGCCTCTCTGTCTCTGCAGCGCCTCCGCCATCCCTCCATCTGTCCCTCCCTTTTTATGTCCTTCCCTGGTTCAGCCTGTCCTGCCTGTTGAGTTCAACCGCTCTTCTCAGCACTTGCCACTTGCCTGCCCCTCCCCAGGCTGGGCGCTGGGGGCACAGAGATGACGCAGACCAGGGCTCTGCCCTCTGAGTGCTCATTTTATAGCACCCAGAGCACAGGCTGCACAGCCCACAGCCTGAGCTGGACTCTCCACTCGGCCCCTTTTAAGTTGTGTGATCTTGGGTCAACTACTTAACCTGAGTGTCCACTTCTTTATTTAACAATTGGGGCCAAAGTACCTTCACTTCAGGGCCACTGTGAGAATTAAATACAACCAAGTATGTAAAGCTCTCAACTTAGTGCACTGGGTACAGCGGGCCCTCAATCAAGTCAGCCTGCCTTCCCTCCCTCCTTCCCTCCCTCCCTCAACCCAGCTGCCTCTTCCAGAGGAGAGGGCCATGATGGGGCCTGTGCGCAGATGTGGAGCCCTTCCCCAGCTGGGGAACCGAAGACTCCAGGGTCAGATGGGCCCCTGCATGCAGGGCCCAGCCCTGTGCCGGGTGGTGTGGAGCTCGACCAGCCAGAGCTCTGCCTGCCAGGTGCTTTCTTTCAGAAGTAGACTCAGTCCTCTGACCTCTTTTTCTCTCTCCCAGTGGCTAATTAGGGCCGATTGTGGGCTCCTTTTTAGCCTTTCTTTTTCTGAACTTCCAACTGGCTTCTTTTTTTCCTTCCCCAGGGCAGGGCTGGAGACACACTGGCAGGGCCAAGCTGCATCCCCGCCACAGCCGGGCCCTGTGCTAAGGAGGGGGAGAGATGTCTACCGTGGGTGTGCCATGGGGGCTGCCGAGGTACAGAGTGCGGGGTTGCCTCAACAGGGAACAGCTTCTTGACTGCTCGGGCTGCTGTCCATTGTCCCGAGGTTCCTGACCTAAGTCCAGGTACATGTGGGGCAGCCAATTATCAATGTTCTGGCCAGCCTTCAAGGTCTTCCTGCGCACCTGCAGCCTTCCATAAAGTGATGAGCTCATAGAGATCCCCAGGGAAATCAGGCCTTTATTAGGGTTGGGGAAAACGACCGCAACCACACCTGAGGCTGAATGCTTTCTCTACCATTTTGGGATACAGTTGGGGAAGTCTAAGGACATTGAATGTGACCCACTGGGGGAAACTAGCACTAAGTCATCCTGGTAAATGGCCAACATGAAGCTGGAAAGGTAGCAGAGGCCCTGGGGCAGCAGGAAACAACCAGGCCTAGGCTGGTGTGGCAACCGATGATCTGTCTGCAAGGAGCGGCGCTCTCTGGGGGCTCCTTCGTGAGCTGGGAGCTCCAGCACTCCAGTGGTGAGAAATGAGTCAGCCATGAGTCCCAGGGCCAAGGATCGGCAGCAAAGGGGGCTGAGAGCCAAGGTGGGACCCAAACATCTTCAGTCACTAAGAAAGAACTGAAACTGCAGTGAAATAAACCTGCTCCAGCTGGTTAGAGAGGAGGAGGGAGGCAGGGGCTGGAGCCAGGAAGGGCTGTCACTTACCAAGAAGCACAGATCAATGGAAAGGGTAGGCAGGTCAGGACAATGTCATATAGGAGCTCTGAGCAGAAGCAGAGAAAGAGACAGGGGTGGGGTGATGGGTAAGGGGGGCAGTGGAGTCATCAGGAAGCTTTCCTAGAAGAAGAAGGTCACTATGAAGGTCAGGAAATCTGATGTCAGAAAAGTTTGGGAGGGGCTTCCCTGGTGGCGCAGTGGTTGAGAGTCTGCCTGCCGATGCAGGGGACGCGGGTTCGTGCCCCGGTCTGGGAGGATCCACATGCCGCGGAGCGGCTGGGCCCGTGAGCCATGGCCGCTGAGCCTGCACGTCCGGAGCCTGTGCTCCGCAACAGGAGAGGCCACAGCAGTGAGAGGCCCACGTACCGAAAAAAAAAAAAAAAAGTTTGGGAGGTAAACTGGAGGTGGGCTCACCAACAATCTTGAGTGTCAGAGCCTGTGCTGTGGTTACCTCTGCATTCCAGGTGGGTGCTGGGGGAGTGATGCTGGAGCCGCTCAGACCAAGGTGTCCTCCATGCTCCAGCTCCAGCTGGTGGAGGCTGCCACATGTTCTCATCACGCCTTCTCACCTGGAGCCGGAGACTGCTGCCTGACGGATCCTCTGCTAATGGCCTCCAGGTGTGTCCTTGGGCCCCTGGGGGGAGACATCATGGAGGACACAACCCCTCCTACCCAGTTCCCACTCCTCTGGTCACCTTCAGCCACAGAACCTGGGCTGGCCTGGGGCAGGCCATGGTGCACTGGTGCACTCTCACCCCAGGTGGGAGGGGTATCAAAGGTCAGACTGCCTCCTTCTCTGATTGGCTACTGATTTCTGAGCCCCCCTCTTCATTGTCACTTCTGGCTCCTTGGTGCCTTCAGTGCACGGGACCCAGGGGTAACATGAAAGTGGTCCTATGGAATAAGATGGCTGCATGGGCTACATCTCTCTGGGGAGAGGGGTTGGCCTGGTGCCTCCTCGTGAGACTAAGTGTGTCTGTGCCTATGGGTCTCCATGACTATGGGCCTGTTTCTGCACATCTGTAACTCTCTTTGCATGTCTGTCTTTGTAACCATTTGTCTCTATGTCTGAGGCTGTGTCTGTGTGTTTCTCTGTGTATTTCACAGCAAAGATTTCCTTGAGTGAAATGAATTCCATCAACGTTTATTGTCTAATAAATGGAAGTCCAATATCGTCCTTCCTGCTTCACCTCCCTAAGGCCTTAAATTTTCATTCCAGAGTTATTTCCAGCCTAAATGGGGTGTGGGGGAAAACCTGATCCATGCTCTTCTGGGGGTTATTTGGACTCAGGAAGGTAAGAGGCTCA